CCCCCCCCCCCCCCCCTCCCCGTAACCGGTCTCATTGATTCAGAAACTGGGTGTTAAAAATTGTCACAGCGCCGAGCAGCCTACGTCGTCATCTAACGCATTCCATGCGTTCACCACTCTACAAGTAAAGGAGTCCTGTCTCGACCTGAGCTGCACCTGCGGTTTACGCAACTTGAGTTGATTACCTCCCGCTGCCATCGAACTGGAAGAGTCTATCACGCTCCACATTATCTATTTCTTGAATTATCTTGAAAGCCTGGATGAGATCGCCCCTCCTTAACCTTCTCTCTCTCTCGTACAGTCCCAGCATTTCTAAACGCTTCTCGCACGGAAGTCCCCTAACCTCCTTTATCATTCTTGTGGCCCTCCTCTGCTCCCTCTCGAGCTCCATCAATTCACCCTTATTTGGAGGCCTCCACAACTGGATCCAATATTCCAACCGGGATCACCTAGGGTCTTACCAGTGATACAACGGAAGAATAAAGGGCTATGCACACTGACTGCGAAGAGCTGCGTTGCGACCACTGAGACCGTCGCAGTTCGTCGCAATCGGTCGCATTGGAGATGCGTGGGACTTTCGCAGGCAGTCGCAGTGCGCTTCGCAACGGAATCGAACGGGCCGATTCCTGTCGCATCCAAGCAGTGCTGCGTATCTATTGACTGCAAGTTATGAAATCCTTGGATACATAATATGAATAGTTTGGCGGCTCTTTTGGCGGAATGACTTTGACGGTAGATGATGCTGATGATCACCATTGATTCTCCATGAGCGAGATACATAATTATAGTAGATAAATATCCAAGAAAGGTCTCGATATCAATTATATTCCTGAATATTTTCCATTGTTTCGATTCATGAATTTTAATGTTAATTTTTTAAAGTTCAGAAGTACTTGTTCTTCGAGTGCAAAACCTTGAGTCGTCCCCTCCTTCAGGAGAGCACTGTATGATTTGTATGCATTTGAGATAAACAGAATTTTTGTATGGAGTATGCATTTACCGAAATCAATGTTATTGCCACCACTTGCGCGGGGAAATGCATGGTCGGAAGTTTGTGTCCTGCCCTCTCTTCCTGCAGAACAAGAAGGGTCTTGAACAGCTCGAGAGACATTCCCACGGACATAAGAGAAAAACACTCTGTCTTCGGTGATAATACTAATATTTTCTACTACACTCTTTAGAAAAAGTGAGCGATATCCGAGAAAGGGAGCGAAACTGGAGTTAGCGGTTTTTCCCCCTTAAAACGAGGAAATGCAATCGATAATTACTCCTTTATAAGAGCAAAATCCATATATTTTTTAGGAGCGCGAAGCGAATGAGGGAGAGTACTTTTCAAACTAATGGAAAAAGTTAGTGGTGGTTCTCAAGAAAGGGAGAAGCAAGCGGCTGCACTTCCTTGTTTTTAGGGAGTAAAGCCGCTAACTCCAGTTTCGCTCTCTTTCTCGGAAATCGCTCACTCTTTTCTAAGAGTGTAGGGTCTCGAATTCTCCCATTTGATGACGGGATCTGTGCACAGGACGTACCTACCTACCATACCTACAAGAAAGCAAAAGTGTTGCAGCACGAGCTCTTCAATTGTACACAGCCAATTTTGCTTTGGCTTGGGAGCTCTGCGACAAGTGTGGATGATGTTTCGAAGACGGTCGCAGTGCGGCTTTGTGGCAGCACTTCGCAGTCAGTGTGCATCGGCCTTTAGTGTTCGATCGCGCCACAGTTCAAGAGCCAAGAGTCAAGATAGTTAGTGACATCAAGAGGCGATTTCGCCCATTTCGATATCACGTGTCGAGGTCGAGCGTTCCTTAATTTTAGGGTAGGCCTAACCCTCTTAAAGCTATATATATATATATATATATATTTTTTTTACTATGCTAGTTGCTTACTGTCTAGTACCTAACGTCAACATTGCCCCCCACCTTTTTGCCTGTCCATGAAAGCATCTAGTTTCTTCTTAAAGATAGTCACAGCGCGGGGCAGCCACTACTTCGTCATCTAATGCATTCCACGCGTTCACCACTCTGCAAGTAAAGAATTCCTGTTTCAACCTGAGCCGCACCTGCGGTTTGCGCAACTTGAGTCGGTTACCTCTCGTTCTCTTGCTGTCATCAAACTGGAAAAACCTACCACATTCGAAATTATCTATTCCTTTAATTATCTTGAAAGCCTGGATGAGATCGCCCCTCCTTAACCGTCGTTCGAGCGAGTACAGTCCCAACACTTCTAAACGCTTCTCGTATGATAGTNAGAGTGCCTAACTTGAAATCTTTTCATGTGTCCCTTTTTATAAGGGTGGAGAATACATTTTGAAATACTCCCCTCTTATAATCTATGGTAATAGAACATATTACAAAAGTAGGATTTTTCCTATACGCATCCATGAAATAGGTATCTATACTTTTGAGGGAAGTTTAAATTTTGTGTCTCTGTTTCGTTTGATCAAAAAAAATTCAGGAAAATGTGGCTGAAAAAAAGGGACCTGATGGGTTTTTAACAAAAATTGTATTTCTTCTGAAATGTAGACTCAGGGAACTCCATGGCATACGGTTTCAGCCTGATACGTGTCCTCTTTTTGCTTGCGGAAAAAAATGTATTTCGAAAAGCGACCAAACCAAAAGATGTGTTCTGAGGAGACGTATAAAAAAGTTCAATTTTTCCTTAAATCAACATCACGTCAGTGATGCGTGCGCCAGCTACTTTTCTATGTCTGCCCGGTGAACTACATGTCCATTAAGTTTCAATATTATACGTTTGCCCATTTCGCAAAGAATAAATGAATTAATCAACATCACGTCAGTGATGCGTGCGCCATCTACTTTTCTATGTCTGCCCGGTGAACTACATGCCCATTAAGTTTCAATATTATACTTTTGCCCATTTCGCTGGTGAAAAAACATGCTTGGAAAAGCAGACCCGCAGAAATGCCATGCCCGGAGAGGATGCCCCACGAAAGCTGAATACTCCCTTAGCTCAGTAATATCGTCACTAATACGTGTGCCCAGTTTCACCTTTCTATTTCTGTCCAATTCGCCGCAACAACTTTTTTTTTTTCAAAACATCACACCTCGAAAAAATTCCCCATGGGAAGTATTCAGACTTAACATTTTTATATAACTCCTTGTCTCAGATGTCACATTCATGGGAAGTTTCAGCTTTCTATGTTCATCAGTTTAACTGATGCAAAGAAATTAGTGGAAAACATCTCCCTTTGAAATTTGTGGCTTCCTCCGTTGACTCAGTGCACACCACCGATCCGACCTTATCCCTTACTTTTCGCCTAACGTACGCAGTTTAAGCTTTCCTTTAGCCATTTCCTCCATCACTCGCCGTCTCGAGTTACCGAGAAGTGTCAGAAAATAGGTCAGAGGCATCCCCTGCAGGAATGGAAGTCACATCATGCGCGTTTGTTATTGCTCCGTCAGGGACGTGCATGCTGCAAGCTCGCATTAAACAGGATCCGTGGTGTAGTCATTAACGGGCCTGGACCTAAGTCCGATCCCGTAACTCGGAACCTCATATGAACCTGATGTTAGGCCTAGCGCGGACTTTGCGGGTCGGACCGCTTACCTCTCGTCCTCGCAGCGCTCTCCTTGTGACAAGCATGGCCTCTTGCTTGTTCTCCGGCCTAGAACATGCCTAAAGATAAACTATATGGGTATGTAATATGGATATAAGCATGATTAAAGCCTAAGAATCATGGTAAAGACGTCAGCCCTATTTCCCGGCAATCGGTTTCACCAGTATGACTCTTTCATAAACGTTCCTCACTCTGTAGAAGATATTCAAGCCTATCATATGCTTACGGTTGGGTCGCCATATGATTGGTTGTAACAAATTTCCAGTTTTTACGGCTTATCATAAATCTGATTTCTAATTCAGTTTGATTTTCACCCCGATCCTCCAGGTCGTGCAAGGTAGGCTGAGTGTGGGAGACTTCCCGTCTTCATCATACAGAGCATCACAGTTAATGAAGCTGATGGTGGCAGGTTTTCTGTAAGAACTGAAGTGCTGAAATGAAATCACTTGCATGACTTACGAATGGAGTGCTGACCATGAATGCTCTGTTAAGGCGTACTCTCGTGGACCTTATTCCTTGTCAAGGGGGTTTGTGGAGTTTTGGAAAGCTCGGCCCCCTCTATAGCCTCTCTGCTCAGTTTAATCAGAATGAGTGTCATCCTGCAGCCCAAATTCATACTAGTCCTCAGATCTGTGCATGGAGGCCAGGCAGTCCCCTTCCAAAAGGACCTCAGAGGTGGACAAAGAAAAATCAGGTCATCTATCCCCCTCAGGAGCCTCACGAAGAAAGACGTCCTGCTGTGAGATCCTCATTCCTTCTGCATCTTTTCATTCATGCTTATGCCTAAACTAAACCTATTTTTATGGAAGCCTAAGTTACTATGAACAAATCCACTTTTGGCCCAGGCTAAGATTATCATAGTAGCTCCATCTTTACTGTGCATCCTATCTAACAGACAAATAAACCTCAATTCATTTTTTATATTAGAGTTAGAACAATATTGCTAAATATCATTAGTCTTAGATGGTTAGACTAAGTTGTTTGTAGGGCTTAGTCTGACAGTGGTGGGAGACTCTATTTCACTGTCCCAGAGTATATCTGATTTTCTGAATTCTATGCTGCCATATATTGTTACCAGCATTTTATCCACCTCTTATTTACCAACAAGCTACAGAATATTTTCTCCAACATTTTGGAGGGCATTTGAAATTTGTAACTATGCCAAGAGAGAGCTCTGTAACTTTCATTTTTCATGCATCCATACTATAGCATCACTCTTTCAGTTCAGACAAATTAAACCTAGTTGTTATAACAAAGTGTCTGTTAACCATGTTACTGCAACCAGATGCCAATTATGGAAGGGTTTTCCTTCTACATATTTAATTATTGTTGCCGTTATTTAAGAACATAGAACACTCAAGTTGTGTTGAGTGCACTATGGTGATACACTGTGACCAATATGGTTTTTTAGAATTCAGTTTAGTTTTTCAGTATTATTATTAATTAACTCATTGTAAGAGGAAGCCTATCAACATTTAAAGGAATTGATAAAGTGCTGACTGAAATATCTGAATTCTTTCCCTTTTGACATATTAGAAGTATTAAAATTCATAAGGATAACACAAAACAGCTTAATTTTACCTTCTAACCCGTTTACAGTTTGTTTGCCATATGAGGACCAACATCAAGTACAGTCCATGGAAGATGTGGTATATAGCATCAATGGTTAGAGGGATGTCCGTAGATGAAGCTGTGAAGCAGCTGTCCTTTGTCAACAAGAAGGGAGCTGCCTATGTCAGGGACACCATCCTTGAAGCACAGGAGATTGCTGTCAGGGAGCATAATGTCGAATATCGAAGTAACCTTTGGGTTTGTAAGTATCCCTATAAGCATTACTCATATCATCATCCCTGCATTCTGACTGAATAAGCTGCAATTTAGCAAAATGAATTCTTCTTTCTAGCTGATTCCTTTGCTACAAAAGGTGTTGTGATCCGAGGAGTCAGACGGCATGCCAAAGCACGAATGGGAAAGGTGGAATACTTCCATTGTCATTATTTTGTGAGGTTGGAGGAAGGGCCTCCTCCTGTGCATTATTTTGAACCCCCTCTCACCTCAGAGCAGAAATTGGAAGTGTGGTTGGCAGAGAAGCGGAATCGGACTGTTCATTGGTCTCTTTGATCTTGGAATTTGTACTTTATTCATGTGCTAATGAATTTGTGATAGTTTATTGAGTGTGTAGTTTAAGCCAGTGGTTACCAACCTGCTGAGCCCTAAGGGCCTAAGTTGTAGATGTTGGACCTGACTAGGAATAAAATTGTCAGGAAATACAAACCAGAAAAGATAGATAGCTATGGGTTTTAAAACAAAGAAAAGTTTTTAAATGCATGGATGTTTTAAAAATCTGACTCTTGAGGACACATGTGGGCTGCTGGTTGGTAGCCTCTGGTGTAAACTATGTGGTTTTCCTTTGGAAGAGACATTGAGAAGAGCATCTCTTTTATTTCATGGAGGCCCAGCTTCCCACCCTTTTGGGAACATGCTGAGGAGTGCATTCTCCCCCTCAGAGCCATATTTATGAAAAGTACCATTCTCCAACATTCCATATTTTGCTCTTGTAATCATTATGTAATTGTTCTTGACCATTGTAATATTCAACTGATTCTTTTCGGATCTGGATTTGGTTCTACAGGATGGTTCCTATATTACCAAACAGACTTAAATGCTCATATCTTGATAACTAAAAAACACAGAAACTTGGTGCATACCTAATTTTAATGCACAATTATAACCCAATATTAATCCAAAAACCAAAAAAACCCAATATTAATCCAAAGATTCATCTGCCATTATTGTCTTAGCATTCTTGCAAGCATCCTTATACAGAATGTGACATTTTTTGACACATTCCCAAACTATGAAACTATTGAAACTTGTGAAAACTATGAAACTATTTTTTTCTTTGAGCTTATGAATAGTAACTGGTTTCTGCTCAACAGGTTTCCTCCACTATGCCCCATAATAAAAAAAGCCTGGAAAACAAAGCTAATGTGGGAAACGAGTTTAATCCCACAGAGGCACATCTGACCAATTTTTGGGGGTCACCTGCAAAAGTTGTCATGGTTTCAACTGCAACCTACATATGAACTGAACTTTGCTTCCAGAATGAACCAAATTTGTGATGCTTCCAATTTCATTAAAATGCCTATTTATTTCCTATGCAGGAGGCTCACAACCACATTGTCTGTGCCACTGTCCTTGTATTTCAGCCAGGTTTTCAAACTTGGAAAAGTTTTGAACCACAACATTTCTTCTACTATCAAATGTTTTGTCTATTGCTGCATTAACACCACCAAGTTGTCCATTCGAAGGGCTAAATGGCATGTTAATTGAATTTTTATTCACTGGTTTGCATTGCATTATTACCAAGATATGAGCATTCAAGTCTGTTTGGTTATCTATGAAACATTCAGTAGATCCAGAATGTGAAATAAAAAAATATTAGTAAATGTCCTACTCACAAGATAATTTCATTCCTTTGTTTCACATTTAAGGAATTTATTTCAATTGCGGTACCTTGATTCTGAAGACACTGTAGGCCTAAATATATATTTTAAAAACTTTTGATGGAGGTTATTTTCTTTAACAGATATTTATTTTAGATGTGAAATCTATTTTGTTGAGCCTGTTTGTTGAAGAAACAAGCATGGCATCCTCTGAGAAGTATACAATATGGTGCTTATGCCTGGGATTGTCCATTGTCCTCTGGTCATACCCTGGACACTGTGAGAATCTTCCCCCAACAGTGTTTGTTGTGACCTTAGTCCGGAACAAGGCCCCTGTTTTGCCCTATTTCCTCACCCTTCTTGATCAGCTGACATATCCCAAGGAGCGCATGGCATTGTGGATTCGCAGTGACCACAACAGTGATGACAGCATTGCTCTCATGCAAAGGTGGCTGAAGGAAAGGAAGCATCTCTATCATGTTGTAGATTTTAAATATGATGTTTCAGAGGAGGTTTTTCCAGATGAGACATCGAGCAAAGAATGGACACAGAATCGATTTGAGCACGTGATTCATTTGAGGGAGGAAGGATTGATGGCAGCACGACAGAGCTGGGCTGACTATGTCTGGTTCTTAGATGCCGATGCCCTAGTGATCAAGAACAATGTTCTTCAGATACTCATGTCCCATGAGAAGCCCATCATTGCTCCTCTCCTTCGCTCCACTGGCTTGTATGCCAACTTCTGGGCTGGAATGAACAATGATTTCTACTATTTGAGGACTGAGGATTATAAGCCAATCCTTGAAGGAAAGAAGAAGGGTGTATTCTCTGTCCCCATGATCCATTCTTGCGTATTGGTGGACCTTCGCACCAAAGAGTCTCGTTTGCTCACATTTGACCCTGATGCATTACCTGGCTATAATGGTCCTTATGATGATATCATCACATTTGCCATTTCAGCCAACAAAACTGGAATTGGTATGAATTTAGTGAATGATGAAGTCTTTGGCTTCATTCCTCCAGCTTTGAATCCAGCGGCTAGTAATTCTGAAGACCAGGAGAATTTCCTTTCACTGCGTCTCCTCCTTTCAGAACCAGAAGGACCTGTCAATGTACTTCCCATGTTCCAGGATCAAATCACCTACCCAGAACCCAAAGAAATTCCTGGAATAGATAAGATTTACATGATCAACTTGGAACGCCGCCCCGAACGGAGACATAGGATGGAATATTGCTTTCGGGAACTAGGCATTGCGTACAAGTGGGTACGTGCTTTTGATGGAAAGAAGTTGAATGAGTCTTATATAAAGGATCTGGGAATCACTGAGATTCCTGAGTTTCGATGTCCATATAACAATCGGCCCATGACATATGGAGAGATTGGATGCTTCCTCAGCCATTATGCCATCTGGAAGGACATCATTGACAATAACTACCAAACAGCTCTTATCTTTGAGGATGATATTCACTTCGAGAGTTTCTTCAATTTCCGTCTTCGGTCAGTGGTAGAAGAAATAGATAAGCTAAAATTGGATTGGGACCTCATCTATGTTGGCAGGAAGGTCCTTCGTGATGATGAGGCTTATCTACCTGATTCTTCCTTGCTGGTCGATGTGGAGTATTCTTACTGGACATTGAGTTACTTCATCAGCCAGTCAGGAGCACAGAAGCTAGTGGAAGCTGAACCACTGCAGAAACTCCTTCCAGTGGATGAGTATTTACCCATCATGTTTGACAAGCATCCAAATGATACATGGAGCAGGTATTATCCAAAAAGAAACCTGAAGGCATTCTCAGTAGCTCCTCTTTTTGTGAACCCAACACACTACACAGGGGACAAAGGGTATGTGAGTGATACTGAGATGTCTAGTGTGGTATTCTCTGAGAAGAACCAAGCTTCCACCCAGAACTCAGTCCCTCAAAATTCATCAGCTGCTATCCCTTCAGGTTCCAGCTCTCCCTTAATCCCTCTTCCCCCCCAGACTTATCCCAGCTCATACAAAGAGGAGCTTTGAGATTGAGATGGGTCAAACGTTTGACATCAACATCAACTTGACAGTGCCAAATAACAGTATTCTGTTTTCGCTGTTCCTTCTCTGTCAAATCTTTCAATTTTATTCATAGTTTAGATGCTCACTCGCAGCTGTGATACAGGTTTCTCCGGGACTCCACTTCTCTTCCCTCTTCCATGATGACTAATCTCACCTTTGCAATGTCATGTCCTTTGTCCTTCTGTGAAGAACTTGTCAAGAATACGGATGATGCCATGAATCTTGTACCAAATTATTTGTTAATGACTTTTTTTTATTATGCTGCGTATTTTTTTGTATCCCTTATCCATGGAGGAATAAGTATCCATTTGGTATATTTCTGCATCCTTGTCATACCATTAGTCCAATTTTATTTTTATTACGGCATTGTGATGTGAAGCGCCAATTGATTCTAGTCGAAGGTGCTTTTCATGCACAATTAAGAATGTGTTCATTTTTCTGCCTGGCTCTTTCATCTGATCCAGCCGAGTATGAAGGTACATTGATAGTTCCAGAACTGAATACCTGAGTGTCACGTGACTTACCTCTTAGCTCTACCCACCGCATAACGGTATTTCCTGATGAAAATGGATCTGTGGAGTTTTTCTCAAAAAAATGGTGCTGAACGTTCCTGAGAACAGTGACTTGTGCTTTCCGGCTCCCTCATCTGTCTATGATGCCAAAGGCTTAGCGCTTGCTTGCTGCTAATTTACCAATGAAGTCATTGAAAATGAACGCACCTTGGTTTTATTTATCAATCCCTTTTATACATTTTCTAAATGAAAACGTGCTCGGAGATGTGATTTGCCCCGATCAAGGAGGATACTCTTTGGATGTCCGAATCGGGTTCGTCCTCGTGCAAGTTCACTTTCCTTCGTACTGACACTTGGTTGTGAAACTTCTACAGATTTCACGGGAGAATCGAACTGGTCCGGGCGGAATGCAGTCCAACTGCATGAATGGATTTCAGTAATTGAAAAGGAAAATTTATTGTTATGATGGATACGATCCTTAGTACTTCTGGTTTCTCCAAGGCTTTCGATCGGCCATTGTGATTCGTCTCCAGTGCAACATCGGCAGGCTCCTAGCTGATCTGTGGAATCCCTCTTCACCACACTTTCGGTCAGTAAGAGGTTGCCGTTGGTCTGATGCGGCAGTCCACGATACTAACTGAAGAATATTGCTCTGCCTTCTCTAGGTGTCGCTGAAGCTGATGCAATTTGTAAAGTCCATGTTCTTGTTCGCGTCTCAAGAAGCATTTTTGTTATGAAAATCCTATAAGTGAATTAATTTACCAGTAGATTTCTAGGTAACAGCAGATCTAATTTGATTCCATGGTTCTGGTATGCATTCAGGTCAAATGTCACAGATGTTTGAAGTGGAAAACATCGAACGAACTGTGCAAAAAGGAAACCATGAAAAATCGGTGGTGATTAATTTTTTTTCTGAGATTAAAATGCTCCGATGGGAAGATATCTTAACACGGGATTTGAGACAATGTTGGTGCTTCTTTGAAAGTTAAATGCCCCGAGGCGATGTCAGTCATTTTTTTCCTTTTTTATGGTTCAGTCTATCAGCCGCTCTCCGCGCATTCGCATCCATTTTCTCTTCACCGAAGTTCTCAGACGAGTGTTCCTCGACCGTTTGTAAAAGCCTATAGATGCGAGTGA